CCCCAAAACCCCAAAACCCCGAATAATAGATTTTTAATTATGATAGTTTTAAGTTTAAATCTACAATTGTTAAAATGTATAATATAATTTAACTAATGAGAATAAATTGTAAGTGTTGCAATAGAAGACTTAGAGCCATAATGCATAGTGACAAAAGAGAGATAAGCCCAATTTTAACTGATTGTAATTGAATTTCTAATTAGTAGAAAGTCTACCCTAACAATAAGATCTCCTCAACTAAATATAACATGTAAATTATGCAATTAACAAGCAATTATAGCTTTACTATTATCCCCATATCATTGATCGTATAATTTACAAGACTCACAAATGTATTCTATCTGGTTAACTCTATACTCTAAAGTATCCCAAGTATAAGTACGAATGACGCAATGTACTCCATAATACCATTGGCATTTGTGGTATTCCTGGGTATGATCAGAGAATTAATAGCTGATGTAAAAAGATGGAAAAAGGATAAAGAGACTAATAATAGGATATTCAATCTTGTCAGAAAAGAATAAGTAGTTTAAGTGAAAAGCTAAGATCTGAGAGTAGGAGATATCATAGAACTACATGATGATTAAATTGTGCCGGCAGACTGCGTTTTATTAAGCAGCTCTGATAATAATGGCTAGTGCTTTGTGCAAACATCTTCATTAGATGGTGAAAAGAACCTAAAACCTAAATTAGCAATAAAATTTATTCAGGACAATGTAAATAGGATTATTAAAGAGGATGTATAGCTATTGCTAATATATAACTAACCAAGCAGAGCATTGTATGAATTTGATGGGACTATTGAAACAAATGAAATTGGCTAAGAATCTAAAATCTCAAAAAATTTGGATTTTAAATAATTCATTCATGCAGTAAGTCATACATTAATCTAGGTTCTAGTATTTATTTATTTTAGGGCTCTACAATAAAAAACTCAAATAAAATACTGGCAATTATAATTTACACAGGAAACTAGACTAAACTCTTTCTAAATCAAGGAAGTTATCATTATAAATAGTCTCTTATTGAGAAGCAGCTAAACATTATACTCTTTATAAACCTTTTCATCATCTTAGGAGTATCTGCCATAATGGCAGGGAGACTCTTTTCTAGTGTAAGAGATGAAGGTAAATCCTTAAAATATATATTTCCTGAAGAAAACCCTGATCCTACATTCTATGCTGGAACAGGCTTTGCCTCATTTTATATATTGATGAACTCGTTTATACCTTTATCTCTTGTTATCACTCTAGAAATATCAAAGTTATGGTATTCTAAGTTTATCGAAGATGATGCTGAAATGATCACAATAGTAGATGATGGAGCATCGATTGATTCCTGTAGAGTTTAGAATATGACAATACATGAAGAATTGGGTAACATTAACTATATATTATGCGATAAAACTGGGACTTTAACTTAGAATGAATTAGTATTCAAAGCATTTGCTACGAATCAACTTGTCTTTGAAGGGATAATAGAAGAAATTTTGAGTAAAAGCTAATCATTCAAAAATAGTGAAGATTATCTCAACTTTTGGAGATGTCTTTGTCTATGTCATGATGCTATTTCAATTTAGAAAAATGATCTCTACTCAATTTCTTCTGCTTCGCTGGATGAGCAAATACTATTGTAAATGAGCAGCTCATCTAACTTTGCTAGATTTTTAAAGAAGGATTCTGATACTATGACAATATAACTATAAGATAAGGAAGAAATTTATGATGTTCTAAAAGTTTTTGAATTCGATTCTACTAGGAAAATGATGAGTGTCATAGTAAAAAACGTTTAAAGTTAAAAGATTTATCTATTTTCCAAAGGTGCTGACATGGCAATATTGCCCATCCTTAAATTTGAAAAATCTTCGGAAGATATTCACAAAGAAACCCTTTCCAACATTAATAAATATGCAAAGCAAGGCTTTAGGATATTGGTATTTGGTTATAGAGAAATTGAAGAGTCTTAATTGTAGTCAATCTTAAGAGGTAAATTAAATAGTCAGCAAGTAGAGTGTGGTTTAAGTCTATTAGGAATTACAGCAGTTGAAGATTTACTCTAAGAAAATGTTACTTAATGCATTTAAGATTTCAAGGAGGCAAATATAAATGTTCTTATGCTTACAGGTGATAAAGGGGAGACTGCCGAATAAGTAGGATATTCATGTGGCTTGTTTAAAGTGGGTCAAAAAATAATAAAGCTAGATGATATGGAATTAAATAAAGTTTAAATAGGAGGTTAAGTAGATCTTATCAAGGATAATAAAGATCTGGAAAACACAGTTTTTATGGTATCTGGCAATAAAATTGCTGAATTATTTTCTGGTTCACAAAACAATTAGAAGTAACTAAAGACGATATTTGAGAGCTGCAAAGCAGGTATATTATTTCGATTATCACCAGGATAAAAAGCTTAAGTTGCTAGTTTTATTAAGAGTCAAATTAATGGGGCAGTAACATTAGCTGTTGGTGATGGAGCAAATGACGTAAATATGATTCAATAGGCACACGTAGGAGTTGGTATTTTTGGAAAAGAGGGAAATTAGGCAGCTTAATTTTCAGACTATGCAATTCCTCAATTCAAGCATCTTAGAAGATTATTGTTCTGGCACGGTAGAACCTACGCTCTGAGATTTTCTAATTTTACTAAATGGTTTATATGGAAGAATAGCATATTTAGCATAATCTTGCTTTATCATAGCTTTGATACAAAATATTCAGCGGGAAATCTAGTACCAGATTTTTTCTATGCAGTTTATGATGTACTGTTCACAAATCTTGCTATACTAATGTATTGCATCATAGATCAAGATGTTGATTATAAATTTACAAACAAAGAAGACCAATTGAAATTCAAACTATCCAATTATTATAACCATACTAGAGAAAGAGTTGTAAAAACAACTATTAGATAATACTGGATTTGGCTGATTTACATTTTTATTGCCAGTTTACCTATATATTATGTTACCTAATATTCCTACAATCATGCTATTGTAACCTCTGATGGTAAAACTGATGGTTTGATGACTATTGGGTTCGCTATTACAACATCAATGGTCACTGCTCATCATATTATGATTACTATTGCTACTAGAAATTGGACATTTTTTGCAGTGATACTCTACATTCTATCATTTTTAGCTTTTATGCCATTGGGAATTATAGTAGAAGATAATATTCCAGCAAATAGTTTATATGCAACTGCATTCACCGATGGAATGATTTAACCATAGTAATGGCTAACTATTATTATTACTAGTGCTATGGTAGTATTTCCTTACTATATAGTTTACAATATTTGGCATTTGATACTTTACTCTAAATATAATTACTGATTAATGATTATAAGACGAAATTTTCGCTTTTATTTCTATATTGATAATCTTTAATAGAATTCAGAGTATCGGGGTTTTGGGGTTTTGGGGAGATCGGAA